CACACACATATATGCATACACACACACATATATATACCTGTATACACACATTCACATACACACATACACACACATACACACATATATATATACAAACATCTAGAGGGAGAGAGATATAAAAGTATAGTATTAAGGTATGCAATATCAGGGATAGTGCATGGATGGAAGCTCCTTTCTCAACCTTCTTCTGCCTCCAAAACTGCTGTCCTTGTCACCAATTGGATCACTGATTTGGAATGGAGTGTTTTATATGTCCCCAAAATTCCTGCAAAAACCAGTCCCGACTGAATCTGCTGCAGCCATAACTCACCAAAACCACTATTTCAATTTTTATTACAAGGAGTGATGTAGTTTGACCTATATGGCATTCAGAACTACCCCCAATCATTGCAAAAAAGTTCTTGAAAACATCAAGCGCAGCTATGAAAAAAGCAATCTAGAACAAGGCTTAAAGGAAACAAATTCGATCCAAATCAGGAACAGAGGCAAAGCGGCTGTGCCCACAATTATAAACGGCGTCAAGGTCATCTCTTACTTGACAGATAAGGCAAACCTCTTCACCTCCATCTTTGCCTCTAACTAAATGTTAGATGACAAAGACAATTCCCTCCCCAAGTTCCCAAGATTCATTGATCACAATCTCGGTAATATTGCCATCACAGCACAAGAAGTCTCTAGACTCATCAAAGGCCTTGACCTTAACTAATTCCTTAAACCAGTCAAAATTTCAGTGGGTATAACAAAAATTAAAAATAATCTAGTGATACATTTATCACTGTTTCCGCAATTGTCAATGATGGCCTGTCTATGTTCCGGTTTATCATGAGATGAAAGAATAACTCACCCCACTCTATCCTCTGAGGTTACTTTTCTATTTATCATAGATTTGACATTTATTTGGTTAATCAAGACATTTAATTCTGACCTTATGTTTCCCTGCCCTTAACTTTTGGAAAAGCACTAACACTTTGTTTTTAAGTTTTCTTAGAAATCATTTAATCACCAGTTACTTACTATTGCCTGAAGAAGTACAATCAAAGTATCGAAACATGAAAGTTTTTCTGTAGTGATTTCAACATGCTTTTATTATAATCTCTTATAATATATATATATATATATATATATATATATGTTCACTCATATAGATATAAGTTTATTCAGTTGTATGGATATGAGTTTGTGACCTTGGTTTTTTATATATATATATATATATATATATATATATATAAAAGAGTTTTATCCATCAAATCTAGATTTGACCAGAAAATGTTTGTATAAAAAGTGCTTGATGCATGATGTAAAAAATTAACAGTGCAGGGCTGTTAAATATTAAAATGAAGGAATATTAACCACTTATGCTATCATTGTTTCCACTGATAGGATTTTGTCAGATAGTCTGACAAAACCTTATTGGTAAAAAATCATAGTAACATAAGTGGTTAATATTCCTTCATTTTAATATACATTTATACATATATATATATATATATATATATATATATATATATATATATATATATATATACAGAGAGATTGAGAGAGGGGTGGAACCAATATTATTTATGAATTCAAATAATGAATAATTATATTGAATATACTACAACATGTCTGACATGGAGACTAATGTTATATGTTTGGTAGGTCTCCAGGTGTACTTAAATGAGGCCTAATTGAGCTATTTTCAGATATATATAACATATATTTAAATACACCTGGAGACCTACCAAACTCTATCTGCAACATACTTGTTGATAATACAAATATAATAGCCTCACCCAAAAAGGCTAAAAATAATGTAACATCATTTAATAAAAAACAATAAAGCCAACACTTAATAATATCAACTATGAACATGGTCACAATGTGCTGACCATGTTTGGAAATTAAAACATTCCTATAGTTCTAGATGCATACATTAAACAATTCATACATTCAGTTAAAAGTAAAATAAAATTAATCCTTGACAATGACTAAAAGTATAGCTGCATGCACTTGGACATACAAAACATTTTGACAATTTCTATATAATTTACATCCAGAAAAGAAAATTATAAGAACACATGAAAAATCAAATAAAAAATTTAACGACAATAACTTGTCAGTCATTTTTAATGAAACTTGTATAAACAAAGGATTGCTGCCAACAAACAGTAATTTTAATTTATTTGTAACAAACAGTTATTTCTGATGAAAAATTGAGGACAATTTGAAATATCAAATATATATATAAATAAATAAATACTTTCATAAAATAAAACATTATAATTTTTAATTTGAAACTTTTTCTATATATACATATTAAGAAAGTATACGTGGCTTCTCATTATGCTATATATATATATATATATATATATATATAATACCACTCTTCAAATTATCACATTTATGAGAATTGGTAGTAGAAATAACATGTAAGCTGCTGTCTGCATCAAGATAAACCCAGTAAGCAAACCACGTACCAACTGAAGTGAATGCAGTTGGTTGCAGAGGATTGCCCACAAGAAATAAGCTACCCCGAGACTTTGATTTGTTTTAAGAATAAAGTTAACAGAAACGAATGTCTTTGTGTCAATAAAGATGAATTGACTCATGGCATGATGAAAATGCTGCTTTTCTCCTTTCACTGTGAAATGTTTGCCAGAACAAAAGAACTTTCGCTGAGTTTTAGATAAAATGTATATAAGAAATGTAATATTGCCTGCAGGGCCAAGAAAATATCATGCTGAAACCTAAGCAGTGTTTTATTTAAAGAAATGAAAAGAACATGTTCTTTCGTTTGTTAAATTGCTTTGTCTTTTAAACAGAACTATTTTGCAGAAAACAAAGAATAGTTAGTTTTATATGCTCCTTCGCTATTCCAATTTAAGAATTTATTACTTAATTAAATTAAAAAACGGCTCTTGTTTAATTAAAAATTAAAATTCACTCACTTTCTCACCGCTGTATTGTAGCTTCTTTATGTCATTTCTATAAATATTCTCATGGTTATTGTTCTGAGAAGCTTCTCTCTTTGGTACTTTAATTTCATGGATTTAAGCACATTACTAGATTGGCAGTTAGGTCTCATCATTTTACAGTTGAAATTGTGAGATGTAACTATGTTTTATGCTAAAAGTTTCTTCTCTCTCCCTTCCCACTTATAGAACTCTCTTCCGGCCTCTTGTTTTCCAGCTAACGTTGATCTTCAAAAATTTAAATGCTATGTCAATTGTTTTCTTAATTCCTGTTCTTTTATTTTCTCTCTCCTTAATAATGTTTTTTTTTTTTTCTCATATTCTCTCACGTTTTAGTGGCTTTATTGCGTTGTTTGGGGTTAAATGAATAAAAATGCTTTTTTTAATTATCAAATGTATTTTTCAATTTTACTTAATGAAAGCCAGAGTGGTCAATGGCCAAAACGTTGATATAACAACAACAAAGATGAGGATAATAGTTCATATGTAAATATTGTAAATAACTATCTGATATCTTTTATAACAGGATATTGTCAAGTATCTTTGTTTTCAGGAAAAAAAAAAAAAGAATTTTATTAAAAATATTTCTGTTTTTGTATCTTGATTTAAAATGTAAAAATGCTGTTAAAACTTAAAATAACATATTTTCATTTACTTAATAGAAATTATTAAAAAAACAAATCAAAAGAAAAAACATTTTTTATTCAAAATCTCTGATGAAATCTTATGCATTATCTAATTATTCATACATCCTGTAAAATTGTTTAATCAATGCTATCTGATTAATCTGATTAAATAGTTATGGTAATGATCCTTTTGAACATTTTTTTTCTGTATGCAACTGAGATACTTTGAGGAAAATGATTTAAACCTGAAGTACTTTCAAGTTGGTTCTTACGTGCAATCAACTGATCCTTTGATTTTATTAAACAGATTTTTAAATATTATTAGCTTGAATCTAAAATGCAATATTCTTGATCCTTGAAAGCAATTTAGCTGATCCTTAAAAATAATTTAACCAGTCCTTAAAATGACTTTTTTTAACATCATTCTTATTTCAAATAAATTTATAAGATTCCATAATTTTATAGTTGAATCTTAAATCTGATTGATTCTTTAATGTCAGTTTGACCCAAAGTAGAACAAGGCTGATCTTTAAACTCTGCTATTTGATCAATATTGAAATTTATATTTATTTAATTCTTTAAAAATATTAAGTTGATTCTTAAATTCTGTCAGACTGATCCATATGTAAATGAAACATTACAATAAATGACTCTTAAACATAAATCTAGTTTTGAAATTTGTTTCTGTTACTTAACAATATTGTACATTCTGGCTAATATGGGGATGGATCGGATGACATTTATTGCAAAGCTATTTGCATTTCCTTTTCTTCTTATGCTATTTAATAAACCCATCTATTAATACATTCTTTTGAACCTGCAATAAGCAGAATGTTTTCTATACAGATCGCAGTTCACTCCAGACCTTAAGTGGAACTCAGGTATATGATTTGTCACTGGAAAAATGGTCAGTTCCTTGTGCTGTTTTAGAAAATACCTGACCCTTCCTGCCAGGCTCTTCCTTTACAGGATCAGGTCAAAAATAGAGTACTGCCATATCTGGGCTGGAGTTGCCCAATTCTCACTTTCCTACATTGACTATGGTCAAAAGATTTTTACGCAACCATACAGGTCAGGAATTATTTTCAAGCCTACATCCTCTTTCCTGCTGATAAGACATCCCAATCTTTGTGTTATCGCTGTTTCCATGGCAAATGTTCAGATGAGCGACATTCCTAAGTTCTGACATTTTCAGCAAAGACCCACCATATCATGTACATTGAGACAAATCATTCACATTCCCTTTTATTCCATTAGTAAGGAGGAAGTTCCATTCAGACAGCTTCTTCACAAGAACTGCTACTATGCAAAACAGACTTCTAAGAGGATGCTCCCTCACCCAATCACTATAATTTCAAGTTTAGAGTCAACTGTTATCTATCCTTTATATTCTTATAATTTGCACTTACATCTTCCAGCTTATGGCTATATCATGTTGAAACATTGGACCCCATACAATCACCAAAGTTAAGCAATGTTGAACCTGGTCAGTACCAAGATGGATGATCATTTGGGAATACCAGGTGCTGTAAGCTTGTATGTGCAGGTGAATTAATGTATAATGACTTGGAATTTTTAATCAGACAGCCAAGTTCTAATTCTGGTTGGGTTCATTATATTCACTTATGTACAAATACACTTGGGAAATGTGTGAATCTACCTTTTCTCTTAGCTATGGGTTAATTAGTAGTGCTTGTATCACTAATTCATCATTATCTTCAAAAAAAAAATTCTTACAGTCTAAGAAAAATCTTTTCTGGCTTTAAATAACCTGCAAAAGGTTGATAAGTCATAGAAACAGCTCGATTCTTACTTCTTCCTCTTATATTCATGAAACAAAATCAGTGATGGCCTACCTTGAGTGGCTTTGGGCATTTACTGGGTAAACATTTAGTAAAAAAAAAAAATTTCCAAAATATTTTATATTGATTCTACTGCTACATCTTTCCTTGGGGTCTGGTGTGAATTTGGATAGAACAGAAAATATTATGCTTATTGACCGTATGAAAGAGAGTATTAATATTTGAGTTTATTCATTGTTCCAGTAATGAATCTGTTTACAGAGATAAAAATCTATCTATTCCATGCAAAGAAGACAATATAAGACCGAATGCTACAATTTTATAAAAGGGTAGAAAATACTTGGCAGAATTAATATCTGTTATCTTTCAAGTTTTTTTTTGTTTTGTTTTACACTGAAATATAATGAATAAAAATATGTATAGTGCCTGTTCCTTTTGGAAGCAGGACTTTTCCTAGTTATCTCCCTTTTGACTTACTATTAATAACTTATATGAGGAGGCACGGTGGAGTAATGGATAGTGGTTTGGATTGAGAAATTGGAGAGCCAAGTTCAAATTCCAGTCGAATCTATTACATTCACTTACGTGCTAATATCCTTGGGAGAGGTATGAAACCTCTTCTTCTCCCACCAGCTATGACAGGACAAATAGTAGAACAGATCGGGTTCTATAGCCTTGGATGGCAACTGGTCTACTGCAGAAAAAAATGGCAACCTACTGCAGGAAAAAATTTGCCTCGTCAGTCATGTATTGAAAGATAAATGAACACCTAAGCATGTATCATGCATGGCATATAACTGACTGACTGATAAATAACCTCCCATTCTTGTTGACTCTTCAATAGAAAATATGGCTGCCTTGTTAGTTCATCAAAGCCTTCTAAAGGTCTCGCGTCTTCTTGTTATTACTTCACATAATTCATGAGAAAGTTTCTCTTTTATATTTTTTTTTTATTCAATATTAAAACACACAAAAACATTTATTTTATTTATTTTTTTTTTTTAATCGGTATCACCCCAAGCAAGGTAGTATAGTCACTAACATGCAAGGGATTATAGGATGTGGAGGAATTAGGAACAGAAATATTACTAAGGAGTAGAAAGTGCAATCAGGAGAACAGTAGATAATGATTGACATTGCATTTAAATTTTTGCAGATAAAGTTGGCTAGAAAGCATGGGGCTGGGAGGGAGTTCCACAAGCAAGAAGTGCGAGAAAAGAGACTTTTAGCATAGAAGTTCCAGCTACATCCAGCTAGATTAACTATAAATTAATGAGATCTCACTGCAACTCTAGTACTGCACTTAAATTCATAGGGTCTAGGTACCATAGCAAAGAGCTCATCGAAACAATTACTATGAAGGTATTTATATAAAAGGCATAGAGATGCAACCTTACAGCGGTGGGCAAGTGACTGAAGCCAAACCGCCAGATCAGAACCAATAATATTGCTGATTCTTCTTTGGATTTTATCAAGGAACCCCACTTATATAGCAGGGGCACCAGGCCATATATGGCAGCAATATTCTAAGCATGAACAAATGGTAGACTTATGTTGTTGGTCAATGCTGAATTTATCAAGGAATAAAATCAATGACATGATAGCAATGTCGATTCTGAATAGATAGAAATGATTAATTTGAAACACTCAGAAAGAAAGAAAGAAAGAAAGAAAAAAACAAAGAAACAAAGAAAGATTATGTGTGCAGAAATGAATGAATTCACATGTAACTGTTATCTATATTGTTTGCATGAGCTCATTACTTGAACACAATAGTTAAACTGAAGATCAATATTTTGTCAGTGAAAGGCAAAAGCGTGGTCATTCAAAATTCTGATTGATTAATATTCATAAGGTCAGTAATCAATATTCATTGGATGAATTCTAATTAATATTTCGAAGGTACATTTATGATCAGTTTGCCTCTCATGGCTATTTATGTTATACTTTCTTTTCTGTTTTCATAGTTCTGTCCTCAGGCAATACATTATGAATGATCATTATTCTTTTTCTATGTGATCGTGGCTCCCCACTACTTCCTATCCTTCATAACTTTAAGCAATGTTTGTCCTGTTACTAGCACTTTCATTCCCTTTTCTAACATCCATTTGCACAAGTTTGTTAGATAGATCACTCAGTGATTCACTCTGTGCTTTCAGGATGTAAGTGATCGTGGCTCCCCACTACTTCCTATCCTTCATAGCTCTCAGCAATATCTGTCCCGTTACTATCATTCACAGTCCTTCTTCTGTCATCCATTTGTACCAGTTTATAAGACAGATCACTCAATGTTACTCTAGGACCCTTCAGGATGCAAGTGATCATGGCTCTCCACTATTTTCTATCTTTCCCACCTCTAAGCACACTTTTCTTTGTTTCTCATGAAATTTTCCTATCTGTTAATACCTTGTTTAATTTCTGAAAAGTGAGATTGTTCAGCATTCACTGTCATAGAGGAGATTAGATATTACATAAAAGTTCAGAAATCATTTCCTATTTCCTATCTCTTAATACATAGCTTTGTTTCTGAAAGGCGTGAGAAGATTGTCAGCATTCAATGCAATATATGAGATTAGATACTGCATAACAGTTCAGAACTGAAAAAGTATCTTACTAAAAGAGATTCCATGTGAAATGTGTGTACATAGCTTAACTCAAGACTTAGTAAAAATATTAAAAGACAACAGAGCACTTTTTAAAATGGAGCAGCTTAAAGATGTACTCTGTTGTAAAATATTGTTTACAAATTATATTTGAAAGAGAAAAATTAGAAAGCAAAAAATAAAAAAAAAATTCTGGACTTTCTGGACAAAGTGATTGCTTTGAAACAGGTTTAAGTGACATGAGTCAGTAATGGAAAAATGTCAAAATTGATGTGGATTAAAATGGAAGTAGAATAAAAATCAATTTAAGTTTTTGAACAGATTATCTACAAGCATCTAAACATTTATCAATCATAGAACATTTAATCAGATAATCTTAAAAATCACTTGAAGTAAGTAAGTTTGATTCACACTGGATGTCCCATGAATATAAACTTCTTGATTTTTCTAACATATGTCTATAAATAATGATTAGCTGCTCATATCCAAGTATGCCTGTCAGTTAGGGTGGCTAATGAATTCCTATAGCAGACACCTGCTCAGGTACATTTGGATTTGTTCAACACCCACAGAGCCCACCAATGGTTTATACTGTAACATTAATTACAGTTTTTGAGCAGGTCATTTGGTGTGATCACTAGTGTGCACAAGCCAAATACATTCAAACCCTCAGCCATGATGACTTGTGACTTTATGCTAACACACGTACCAAGGAAGAAGTCCGTCTACCGAATTTCACTCAAAAGGCATGGGTCAACCTGTAGTGTGATTTTCAGACACTTTTCACCTCCCCATGTCAATAAAATCAAGAAGTCACCTTCCTAATGAATCACCAATAGTGACCTTCAAAACTGGTCAGAAAGATAAACATTCTAACCACTCAGCTATGCACTTAGTGTTTATAAATAATCTATATATCAACACACTATATATCAGTGTTTCTCAAACTATCTGATATGGCAGACCAGCAATTTTTTTTATCAATGTGTCACATACCTGTAACATTTTGTGGTAATATTAATTGATACCGGAAACGATTATATAATGAATATAATAAAAGTTGACTATTTTTTATCTTCCATTTATTTTGCAAAAAATAATTCAATATCAAAACATAAAAAGTAATAAAAAAAATGATTCCTTAGCATGGCCTGGGCACAGGCCGCATACCAGTATCTGATGGTTTGCATATCAGCGCCAATCTGCAGACCACCACTTTGAGTAGCACTGCTATATATATATCATACTTTTTTATGGATATTTCAATATGAAAATTTAAATAGTTTTAATTAAATTCAAATATCTTTAATTTTAAATATTTTGAAATATCTTTAAATAAATTTAAATTTAAATATCTTTCAAAAACTTTAGTAAAAAATTTTAAATATCTTTAAATATCTCCATTTTAGCAGAGGATAGAAAAGGTGACACCAAAATCAAGAGACATAGTGGAATAGACAATGATGCCTTAGAAAAGCTAAGCAAAATATTAAGAAATAGAAAAGATGAAGAAGACATTTAAAGCATCTGAAATGTGGTTCTGTAGAAGTGTGCTGAGAATGTCATGGACTGAACATGTGAGTAATGAGTAAGTTTTAAGGGAAATGGAAACAAAAATGATGCTTATACTTAGAATCAGAAAGAGACAGATCTTGGAGAATTTTAATAATCATAGGGCATCCTTGTGGCAAAAAGGACAGAGAAAAGTAACAAATAACCTAGTTAACAAGTTTGTGTAAATGGATGAGAGGGATGATGAAGAGACAAACCTATCTAAGAGCTAAAAGGAATAGGAAATTATGAAGAGCCATGATTGCTCATGGTCAAAAGGAGAAGATAGCAAATTCAGTAAAAGAACATCTATAAATTTAAATGAAAAGATTGTATGAACACAAACTATTTACAGTATATATACTGTTCAGATTGTTGTTATCTTTATTGTCATATTCATGACATTTCGGCCATTTTACGCTCAGGTTTTCTTCAGGATCTGTCTATATTTCTGAGATGAAGTATAGTAACTATTTACACTATTTACATTGTTTGGACTGTTGTTCTCATATTTATTGTCATATTCATAACATTTCGGCCATTTTACGCTCAGGCCTTCTTCAGGATCTGTCTCCAT